TAATTTGCTAAAAATTGTTTCAGTAGCATATTTTTGTTTGTCGATGTGTTCTTTTTTACCACTTAACTATGCTTCCCCAAGATCAGCAACCATGAAGCGCCTTTCTCTTTCCAAGACTTACTAAGTGAACGTTTTAGGTTAGATTTTTAGCAATTTTTTTCTTCTTCAGGTGATCCGTTTCCTCAGATATCGTTCTTCTATATCATTCAAATACCACCTGGACCATTTACATACATGCTTGTTACAACATATTTTGATTTTATTCTGACGTTTTCCTGAGTACACAGGAAATTGTATCGTAAACTACTGCTCCGTGACGTTCTACAACATCAGCTTTTTTTCCGTTTTCATTGAGGACTACCTACAGTGCAGGAAACTAATTTTGTTACAGCATCGATGCTGATTTGAATGCTTCCTTTGCTTGCTGATTTGAATGCTTCCTTTGCTTGCTGATTTAATGCTAGTAATCCTTATCCTGATGATGTTTTATAATTAGGTCAATGCTACCAGAAGTAGCATCATGCTACCGGAAGTAGATAATGAATTTCAGCATTGCCGTTAAAAGCAATAAAAGTGCCTTTTACAATTATTTGATCATAATATCTCACTATGTTTTAATAATGTGAATACTTTAACCAATATTCTTTCTTTCTTTTTTTAATTTTTTAATGAATTAAAACTCATTGATTTTGTAGGATAATGCTGATTTTATGAAGGTCAATGCTGGTTTTATCCTTTGCTTGCTGATGCTGATCCTGGTAATGCTGTTTTTTAAATGCTGATGCTGATGCTAGCTCGATCCTGATGCTACTAATGCTTATGCTGGTTTATGTAACGAAATTAGTTCCCTGCACTGTATCTTCAGAAATTGATTTATTTTCAACGAAGCAAACTGTAAACTCATAATCTGGAATATAAAAACGATGTAACAGTTCTTCATTGATCGTCTGAATTTTTTCGGTTTTGAGTCATTTTACTGAAGATATGACTACAGACATTATTTAGGGTATTATTTGTAAATTAATAAATTTTTGACCTGCTCCGCGAACCAACTTTCCAGTTTTTAACTCCTAATAAGTTTGAAATAAATCATTATATTTTTAAAATTTTTAATACAAATGATTTCAATTTATTATTAATTATTATTTCTGCCAAATTTGGATAACAAATGACGTTAAATAAAAAAGATATGACAGATGTCCACAAACTTTCCAAACAACCCTCGTAAATGTAGAATTACGTGTTTCACAATTTAACTTGTCTAATCCGGATTCTGTGTATTCTGAAATCTTGCTTAATACGATGCAAGCTTTAAGTCCCTTTCAATAAATTCATATTTCTTAAAATCTTGTTTAATCCGGATAAGACAAGTGGTGCCCGGATAAGACAAGTTTCATTGATGTAATACAAAGAAAGCAACTGAGCAAAATTAAAGCATTATAGTCCTTATACAGAAAATAATACCAGTTGTCCACGAACATTCTCTGCAACAATCGTTTGATTCACTAATGTTGATGCTGTGATCTTCATATTCCGTGGTCTTCCAAGAACCTGTTAATATGCATTGTTTTAGGTTCATCTGATTTTGAGCAACCCCAAATCAATATCTTATCCTACAAAGAACATTTATACTGGACGATAAGGAATCACTTAGCAGAGTGAAATATCACAAAAATATATTATGATTGGCACAGTTAATACATCAATCATTAAAATTGATACGAAAAATATATTCATTATAAACATATAAGCATGTCTATACCAGTGAATAGGTTGAAACAAAATGAAGAGTAATCTAGATATTAAAGTGTTTCTTAAACAAAATACAAAGACATAGAAAAAAATACTTTCACTATCATTATTCTGAAAAAATAGAACAAGCTTATGTACACTTCACCAGCGCAATCTGAACAAACAATAGTTGTGTTGGGGCTGTGTATTACTAAATTGTAAACACCAGTAAGAACGAAAATGAGCATAACAACCTTCATTGCTTTAAACATTTTAAATTTAAATTTATGAATAGATTTTCTAAGAGGATACGGAAAATAAATAAGGTAAAGGCACAAGCAAAGGGATACACAATACAAATTGAAAATTGTTCTTACGGTTTGGTTAAAGTATAATAAGAAAAAAAACCCATTATAACCATTGTCATAGTAATTTTTTCTGAGAAATATAAAAGTGAATTTTCTGCATATAAACTATTGCGTGAAGACACATTTTCCCTCCCTCCGAACATAAACATCTTTGCTGAACAACATAAGAGTAAAGTCAATCTATTCAATATAAGAACAGTAATAAAATGTGCATACACCAAAGAGCGAAAGTGGAGCAAATTAGAGTCACTAGCAGTAAAGGTTTGTTTCCAATTTATAGGAGATCCAATCCCAACAAAACTGTTGCCTATAATTGACAGAAAAAAACAACAGCATAGAAGAAATAAAAATAAAACCACAAGCCGTTAGATACCAAGCTTCCTTTTTTATAAAGCTTCTTGTTTTTGGACATGCTAACATTTTTTCTCCCCTCTCAACTTCATTTTCTTCAATAGATAGAGAAACATTTCTGAAATGGTCTATAGGAAGGAACCCATTATTACATCGTATGCGCGGATCTGTCCCATGCCGTATCAGTGATTTTATTGCATCAAGGCAGCTCGTCACATTTGTCATCCGTATTATAATGGAATGTAATGGAGTATTCCCATCAATATCAATGGTATTTACGCCACTCCTGCAGCTTACTAACATCCTAGTTGCAGCAGGGATGTATTTGAATGTCACAAAACATAACAGAATTCTCCCAAAAGAAGGAAACAATGTTATTTTCTCTTTATGGAATTGTTGTAAGTTAGTACTTAGAAGAGTTTTAACCATATCTTTACTTCTTGCTAAATGAAGAGGCGTTCTAGCTTTGATATCTCCGAGAAAAGGATTGGCACCGAAACTTATTAACATTTTGGCAGCATTTACGGCATCACATAAGGCGGCTATATGAAGCAAAGTTACACGCAGATAATTGCCATTAAAATTTGCCAACAGACATGTTCTTGATATAGTTCTGCATTTACCCTGATACACAAAATTATGAAAACTTTGTCTTTTTTTTGCTGAATACCTTATGGATCATTTTCGTGTCATTTTCATAAATTGCGTTACAGATTTTAACGAAATCTCTCAACAGAGAACTTCCTGTAGAAACTGTTTTCAGATCTTTCAGAAACAAACCCAATTGTTCATTTATTACACTATTGTTTTTGAATAAACCAGGTAATGGGTATTTGATAGTGAGATCATTCCTTGCTCTGCCTGAAACTAAAAGCATTTGAACAATTTTTGAACTTTTGTTCAGTAAAGCTTCTTGTAAAATAACTTTTGAATTCCACGGCAAGACAAAGCGTAGAAATTCATCATAACATATAGCACCGTACCGTAACAAAACAGACACAGCTTGTACATTATTTCTTGATACTGCAACGGCTAACGTAGTCCATAAATGTAAATCACAATAATTAACATCACTACCTCTACTTAAAAGCAAGATTAACATTTCAATTTTAGTAAACCAGGATGCTACAAAGCAAGCAGTCCACCCAAGAACCTCGTCTCTCTGATCCACATTAGCTCCTTCATCTATCAGCACATTAGCAATTGCAGAGTTGTTTGTTTTTGCGATTTTACACAGCAAAGGAATACCATATTGGTCGCAAGATTTAACATTTCCACCTTTGGAAATGAGTAATCTAACTATATCTATATTTTCACCTAATACTGCTAAATGTAAGAGATCAGTTACATGAACTGAAGTATATGTTTTGAAGAAATTTCTGATGGTACTCTTTGGGCTTTTGTAAATGTGATAAAACAGGAAGTAGCAGCCTGTTGCAACTAACCAATGGGTAAAAATGCTGTTTTTGTCTAGTAAGACTTCTAGTATAGCATGCCTATTTGTGTTTGTAATGTTTTTGAACATTTTTTGCACTTGTTGCAATGATAATGTGAAAGAATCTGTACAGGGCAAATGTTCAAAATCTTGTAGGGAAAGATTACTTTTCTGGAGGTAAGACAGAAAATAATTCACATAATCTCTGCTTTGTAGTGGCTCGCTGAGAAGAACATCACGAAATTTTCCGTTCATTATTTCTGTCTGAATCCTCCTCGCAAAAGCATCATAGGATGAAGGTTTAAGGATTAAAACCTCTTGATCGACTTCGTGACATTCTCGAAGCACAACCCTTTCTCTTATAAATTCACGCTTACAGCACTGAAACATTATATCTGGGAAGCGAGAGCCAAAATGACAAGCGATTGTTTCTTCAAGCCTATCATGAATGAAGAAAAAAGGATTATCTGATTGGACAAAACTACCTTATACAGATAGCAGATGCTTATAAAGGCGCTTTCTTGGAGTTGATTTGGGTACTTCACATGCTTGTAAAATTAGGAAGAAATAATTTTTTCTTTGATATTCACAAGTGATATCATAAAAAGATTGTAGAGTTTTTGCTTAAAAAATCACGTTCAACACCAGAACACAATAAACCTCCTTATTTTTCCTTTGCAGACGGTCTAATTCTTCTCTAAAAATAATTGTTGGATTAGAAAAAAACTTAGCTTTCCTCTTGAAGAATTCAGGATTCGAGAAAAACAAATCACATAATAAAGGAAATGCGTAATGGCAGAGACTAATCCTCTCTATTTTATCAGTATCAATATCATCTTGTCTTTTTCGATGTATCATATAATTTCTGAACATTGTTTTCTTTTCGATAAGGGACAGGACTAGATCGTTTGAATCAAGATCAACAACCGTTGAATTAAAAACCGTTGAAATAGATAGCTCATTTATGTCGATCTGTAATTGTCGTCGCAAAGTACATAAAAGTTTTGCGGTGTTATCCTTAAATATCAATTCAAGACGATTATTTATTCTTTGCCACGAATCCAAAACCACATCATCCACTTTGTGTTTTCCAACGATATCATCGACGATAAAAAGCTGCTTTCGAGAACTGAATCTCTGAAACAGAATGTCGCTAGCATAGCTAACTGGAATAATTTCAAACCCTTCTTCCTCAAGCAGTAGGGATACATATTTCATTGTTGCTGACTTTCCGGAACCAGAATTTCCTACGATCATGATGGTACTTTGGCTTCGTATTTTTCTCAAAACTTCTTCCGTGCCCCTGGTTTTATAAAAATCCTTTGCATCAGACCTCCATTTCTCTACTAAATTTATCGTATTTTCTGTAAAAAAAAAAAAAAATAAAGATTTTGATAATCATTGTTAAATATCAAAAACTGTCGGTATTTTAAGACGGCATTAGTGTAAGTAAATCCCCCCCCCCCCCCCCCCCCACACACACACACTGTGAAGGTTATTAGCAAAACAATTATTTAGACAATTATTTTAGAATTGTGTAAATCTGAAAATAATCGTTGTAAACATTTCGGATTTGATAGAATAATTTCAAGGTATGTGCCATCTTATGGCACCTGATCCCACCTCTGATGTTTTGGAGGTCCGTGTTTGCTCTGCACCTATTTTGTAATGTTTAATGGACTTTTGAGCTTGAATACAGTTCGTTATCTTCATATATTTCGTGCAGAACGTCTTCTGTTTATTGTCGCCACTTCGACGTAATACGAAGATTGCCCTCTAGATTGCAATGTACCTGATTGATGTCTTTCTTCTAACATATGATTTTTTCCCCCAATTATACAGCCACTTTAATCAAATCTTAAAGAATCCAACTTTTGAACAATCTAATGAAAACAATGCTTGCTCATTCTTTAATGCATAGAATGAGTTTTGTTAAGCGCCGTGGGAGCTGTACTGCTACGACCCATATTCCTGATGAAAAATTTGAACATATTTAATCCGAATTTCTATACACAATTAAAAACGCCGTTTCCGAAAATGACATTCCATGCATTTGAACTGATCTACAATTTGGACCAATGTACCTGTGTCAAACTGGACCATGGAGGTGCAGGGCTCAACAAAAATTCCGATAGTAGGCTTATATGACAAGCGTCAGATAACGGCAGTTTTCGCAGTTACGTGTTGTTTTCACACTTATTTAATTACGTTTTTGTCGATTTTTACTAAACAAACAAAAACAGATCGATAGTACTTGTATCAAGGTACATTGAATACACACCCGTGGACAAAATGGCCAATTTTCGGGTTGCACTGTTTTTAACGTATTGGATTTTATTTTACGCACTGCAATCACGTGACAATGCTGATTTGTTTGTCATATTCTATAACATTTGTTTAATGGATACACAAGATATTTCCAAGTACTGGTGTGTCGTGCCAGGTTATACGTCAGACGAACGTAAAAAGCAGAACCTGGAAAAGTATCCAGCTATGGAAGGAGTTGATTTTTACCCGTTTCCCACCCGCTTAAAAAACAATAAATTAGAAAGAGGTGAATCTCTCAGGTATGCTTTGTTTCTCCACTTAATTTTTGAAGCATACAAACTTCCAAGCTGTTATTTATATTAGCAAAACTTAGACAGCAAATCAATGTCAGTATTTCTACATTTTCGGGAATGTAAAAATGACAGACAGTCAATCCGATTTTTTTCAATGAGCTATTAACACAGATATTTTATTGATTTACTAGACTAATAGAGAGAATTTTGAACATAAAGACACCATAGGGTGTGCTCTAACCATTTTGTTGACAGAAGACTTACCAAGTGTAATTCAGGCCCAACATTGTTTCCAAGAAATAATTTCATGCGCCCATTGAAGGAGGGACCACAGAATGATGTGGAAAAAAGAAACAACTTCACCTCTGTTTAACGTGATAAATTTCAAGATAATGAAACAACTGAGCTTGAACTTTTCAATGCACCACCAGTTGCAGCAGAAGTTGTTGTAACTGCAGTTATTGGGGGGGGGGGGGGATGTTACATGTGTTATATAATGTCTAAGCGATTTTTGAAACGCAATTTGGTATCAGTGATAAAATCCTTTAAAAAGAATATTAATGACTACATGTACCATAACACATCTCGAAAATCTGCAGCAAAATTAAATTGTAATGAATCGATTTCGTCTTCTTTAACAAAATTTTCCCGAACTTTTTCGTGGACCTCTGGCTTTTCCCCTAATTCTTAAACACACCGAACTTGAGAGTTACCCACAATGTGTCATTTCTGCATCACATCCGTAATTTTTACTTTGACATTTCCAAATGTTGTAGCATTTTTCACGTTTGATGATGAATACTCGGATTATTGTGGAATGCCTGGGCAATTAAATAGCACGATTAAGACAAAATATCTACCAAAACAAGATATCATGACACATTTTGGTGACATGTAGTAGTTATATGACACCACTAACAAAAAAATACTAGAGTAAGCTATAGTTAACTATAGTTTACTATAGTTAACAATAGTAAATCAAAGTTCCAAAGTTTTCACTATAGTAAATCAAAGTTCCGAAGTTTTCACAATAGTAAATCAAAGTTTCAAAGTTTTTACTATAGAAAATCAAAGTTCCAAAATTTTAACTATAGTAAATCAAAGTTCCAAAGTTTTTACTATAGTAAATCAAAGTTCCAAAGTTTTCACTATAGTAAATCAAAGTTCCAAAGTTTTTACTATAGTTAATTAAAGTTTCAAAGTTTTCCCTATACTTAATCAAAGTTTCAAAGTTTTTTCATTAGTTTAACAACTTATGTATTTTTATTAATTTTTTTTTATTATTTAGCCGTTTTAGGGGAGGGATGGATATGGGGTTGGTTGGGGTGGTTTTTGTTGTACATCTTTATTTAAATATACAAAGTAGTGAATTCAAATGCAATATTTACATTTATAAATAAATAAAAAAAAAAACAAAAAAAAAAAAAAAAAACAAAAAAAAAAAAAACATGTTGACTAAAGTTGATGAAGCAGATATTTTGATTCTAAATGACACAATTTTTTTTTTATAATAAATTATTTTTTCTCCATAAATAAGACTTACGTTACATCTACATAACATTAAAATTAAATACATGGAAATAAATATTGCTTATTTGAGGCGCATGCAACAACCTTTACATTAAAATTCATATCTTGTACATTATTCTTTTAGGGGGGGGGGGGGGTTAAAAATGTTCTATAAAGCTTTTATGAATCTTAAACTTGAAATATCTTAAAATGTAAAGAATGGGAATCAAAAACATAATCCCACGGGATTTATCGTACTCAATCAGAGTTTTAAAGTTTTTACTATAGTAAATCAAAGTTCCAAAGTTTTAACTATAGTAAATCAAAGTTCCAAAGTTTTCACTATAGTAAATCAAAGTTTCAAAGTTTTCACTATAGTAAATCAAAGTTTCGAAGTTTTTACTTTGGTACTATAGTTAACTATAGTAAACTATAGTTAACTATAGTTTACTATAGTATTTTTTTGTTAGGGATCATTGGCCCGATATCCAAGAGGGGTCCAGTGTTAACAAAAGGAAGTGACTTACTTTCCCTGTTTTATAATACCGCGGGTATGGTTTTTAGCTCACCTGAGCTGAAAGCTCAAGTGAGCTTTTCTGATCACCCGTTGTCCGTCTTCCGTCCGTCCGTCATGTCCGTCCGTCCGTCTGTAAACTTTTCACATTTTCAACTTCTTCTCAAGAACCACTGGGCCAATTTTAACCTAACTTGGTACAAAGTATCTTTGTGTACAGGGGAGTTTAAATTGTAAAAATAAAGGGCCAAGTCCCCTTACAAGGGGAGATAATCAAGAAAAGACAAAAATAGGGTGGGGTCATTCAAAAATCTTCTTCTCAAGAACCACTGGGCCAGAAAAGCTGAAACTTATGTGGAAGCATTCTGGGATAGTGTAAATTCTAAATTGTTAGAATCAGGACCCCTGGGGCTAGGGCGGGGCCACAATAGGGAATCCAAGTTTTACATTGAAATATATAGGAAAAGTCTATAAAAATTTTCTTCTCAAGAACCACTTGGCCAGAAAAGCTGAAACTTAGGTGGAAGCATCCTCGGGTAGTGTAGATTCTAAATTGTTCAAATCATGACCCCCGGGGGTAGGGCGGGGCCACAATAGAAAATCCAAGTTTTACATTGAAATATATAGGAAATTTTTTTAAAAAATCTTCTTCTCAAGAACCACTGGGCCAGAAAAGCTGAAATTTATCTGGAAGCATCCTGGGGTAGTGTAGATTCTAAATTGTTCAAATCATGACCCCCAGGGTAGGGCGCGGCCACAATAGGTATTACAAGGAGGCAAATCTGGTAAAGAACAGCATGACCAAAGTTACTCAGTTGAGCGATGTGGTCCATAGGCCCCTTGTTTAACAAAAACGTTAATTCTACGTTATTTTTTGTTTGTTTGCTTGTTTATTGTTTAACGTCCCTCTCGAGAATTTTTCACTCATATGGAGACGCCACCACTTGCCGGTGGAGAGCTACAAATGTTGACCTATTCTCGGCAGTCAGGTCCATTGAGCAGTGAGAGATCTTTTTCGTGCTAGCACCTACTGCGACACGGGACCTCGGTTTATACGGACTCATCCGAAGGACAGGTCTCCACGTCCCACAGTGGGATTCGAACCCGCGATGTAAGGATCAACTCCTTACTCCGCGACTCTCGAGGGAACGCTCTAACCACTGCGCCATTTGGATTTTTCATATGGAATACATTGTAAATGTGTACAATGAGATTAATTTATGGAAAAAGACGAATAAAAATATCCTTTGACCAAGGGTGTATATTCGGGGGGGGGGGGGGGGGGAGGTCCTGTCCACAAGCACCTGTGATTTCATTTGCATTCAAACATTTTCTTTTACCCCAAAGACACTTGTGAGTAAAAGGAGGAATGTTCAGAGTTGCTCTTCTCAAGGTCAAAAGGTCCCCAATGTTAAACCAACGATCAGCCAAATATATTATCTAAAAGGCTTCGAAATTTTTCTGCTGATTAGTTGTAGTTTTTCATTGATTTGAATTGTGAATACAGCATATTTGTAAAAATGTGCCCAAATAAACAAAATTAAATACTTTAAAATACAACATAGTAAAGGATATTGTCATATTGTGTTTTAATTTTTCATTCGTATTCTTTTTTTAAGAGCAGGGATTAGATATTTATTAAAATATGATTTTGATGCAATCAATTGAAATAAAGTATTGTCAAAAGAAATTCTGTCTACAGATATTCCTTTCTGAGTGTAAAAGACAAAGTCACACCATTTTCTGTCACATACACCAAGCATTGTTGTTGTCGTCCATA